GACGATTTGCTTTAGTAGCCAGTCGACGAGCCTCACGGTGCCACCACTGCTGAATGTGTGTGACAGGACACACGATGTTTTCTTCTTTTTATACGTTCTCGGTGATGACGTCAGGCTTGTTATCCAACGTTTGTGCCACTGGACGTCGCACCGATGGATGGTAGCACCGATGTTTCTTGATAGACGTCGATTCCTGGGAAAAGGAAGACGATTTGCTTTAGTAGCCAGTCGACGAGCCTCACGGTGCCACCACTGCTGAATGTGTGTGACACTGCTGTGTGACACTGCTGAATATGTTTGACACATAGAATAAATAGCTCGGTGCTCAGAATATTTCAATGGCATGCAGAATATCTAAGCTGATACTTGAAATAAAGTGAGCGGGAAAACCTGTAGTATCAGAAGGACGCACTTTCAGCACTATCTGACAAGAAGGGGTTGCCACGTTAAGCTTGCTGCGCGTAACCTCTTTGGTTTTAACAAAGTTTTGAGAGAGTTGGGCTGCAATGCCATGAACTACAGCGGTGGTGCGAGGTAAGATTGGGACACGAAGCGCAGGCCGTAAAAAAGTGCGCACACCCTCCTCAAGTTCGGCTGTGCCACATGTCGTTTAGTACTTGAAATGTCCTCTGAATGACAGTACTTCTATGTAATGAATGTATGATGAAAAGATGCGAGATGGCGGTACTTGGAGTGTTCACTAGATCGACGAATGGAAGGACAGACGCATGGACGGACGGACAAACAGATGTACGGGCGAACGCATGGATGGATGGATGAACGGATGGACGCATGGACAGATGCAGGGACGGACACACGGATGGACGCAAGGACAGACGCACGGAAGCAATAACGCACGAAAGGACGGAAGCGCAGGCGGACTGACGGACGCTTTGACCCACTCATTCTCCTGCGCTCTATGAATAAGCTGTGACTTTTTAAACATATGAGTACCGTTATGCTGATCGTTCGCTACATAGAATACCAAGGCAGTGACGTGGGTCTCATAGCAGTGATATCATCCGAGATAGTGATAATTGTCTCTGCGCCACTAACAATAAGCGAAAAGACATAATGTTGTATCTCTGCAGTTACCCCTAATTCACCCTTAAGCGCCAGCTTTTAAATGTGAAGCTTTTGTTAGCGAATTTCGGCCACTTTGAGCGCATCTATCTATCTATCTATCTATCTATCTATCTATCTATCTATCTATCTATCTATCTATCTATCTATCTATCTATCTATCTATCTATCTATCTATCTATCTATCTATCTATCTATCTATCTATCTATCTATCTATCTATCTATCTATCTAGCCGCTTTTGTTTGGGTGCTGTATGATCACCCCCTATACTTGGCATGAACCAAAATAAGCATGGGAGGGAAAGACGGTTTTACAAATATGATGCGCTGGTCAAAACTTGAATAATGTTACATTCCTGTCACGTACGTCGTGAAACACTCTTCGCCAGAGAGTGGCACATACCCACCGGCGAGTATGTGCCACTTATATGCGCCACAGGTGTTAGACACTTATCATCTACCGAGGAACGAAGAGAACACACATAGGCAATTTTAACTGCCAGCGTTAAAAAAACTGACATCCGCAGCGTCGACCCCACGAACGCAAAGAAGAAGTCTCAGGCTCCCAGAGGAAATGGAACCCAAGAATTCTGCGAGGTGATGAAGTATTCTACCACAGAGCTATGCCAGGTCTTAGAGCAACTTTTCGAATAAACGCTCATCTTCGTGAAACCTCACTAGGGATTGCAGTGGTGCCTATCTAATTTTTTAAACATTACATATGTATCCCGTTGATACAGCCGTCTTGTCGGATTAACGTTAACTGTGTTTAGGTGCCATACGCTGAAGTTGATATATGCAGCAGTGTCCAGGGCCAACATCCTCGCGAGTATCATCTTCTGGTGTTGCTAATACGCATGTTCCTCTTGGCATTATTGTGCAAGTGCAAACAACTGGTTATAGGTACATCTGCAATTCTTCAGCATATGTGTGTGCGTGCGACATTTGTACATATATTTAGCATCATTTCATGAGATGTCACTCAATAAAAAGATTGGCAGCATATCCACTGAGTGACTGATGGAGAGTGGGGCGAAGCATTCGTCCATCCATTCATTCTTGCTTCCGTCCGTCCATGCGTCCGTCTGTGTGACCGTCCATGCGTCCATCTGCCCGTCTTTGCATCCGTCTGTTCGTGCGTCCGTCCCTGCGTTCATCCATGCATCCGCCCCTGCGTCCATCATGCGTCCATCCATGCATCTGTCTGTGTGTCCGTTCCTCCATCCATTCAACACTCCAAGTACCACCATCTCTCATTTTTTTATCGTATATTTTTCATATAGAAGCACCGCCATCTAGCGGACATTCCAAGAACTAATTGATAGGTGGCACATGCACACTTTCGTACGGCTTGCGCTTTGGGTCTACTTCCCACCTTTAACAATTTTGAGTTCATGGTATATACTAGTTCATCGTATTCATGGCACTGCGGCTCAACGCTCGCTAAACCTTTCTAAAACTAAGGAGGTTACACCAAGCGAGTATAATGTAGCAACCCTTTCTTGTCAACTAGTGCTCAATGTACTTGCCAATGGCTGCTAAAGGGGAATGAGAGACAGGAGCATACGGCTTTTAGTTAACGCGCACGCCGCGAACTTTGTATTGTTCAACAAAGCAGAGGAGAAATCTCCCACCGGCACCACCTTGCAGGTCAAAATGCAGCACTTTTACACATCATGACTACGACTACGATGGACGAACGGGTACCGCTTTAAGGAGCTTCACCCCTAAAAAATTGCGAGAGGCTCACCTTCCCGCCGCATGCTTCGCATAAGGTCGATTCGCAAAGTATGTGCGTTCTGCCTTTTCTTTTTTTTCTTTTTTTACAACGAGCGGAAATCTTCTGCCGCCCAAACGCAGCACCTTTCGCACTGGACAGTGCACCACGCCGCCGAATATGCCATCTACCACGGGATGAACACAGGTTCAATTTGTGGTCACCCGGCTGTTGCCGTGACTCGCAAACGCCACTATATACGCTATCCGTAGGGCTATACTTCAATGTTTCTCACGAATTCGAAGCAAAAAGAAAAAAAACTCACCAACGCCAGCAGCGTTGGTGGGTTCGTGTTTCTCTGCAAGACCGCGACAAGCTCTGTAACGCCCACAGTTTAAGATACAAACAACGCGGTCACGCCAACAGCAAGCTCGGTTACCTCTTCCACGAATCAGGGACGGGAAGTAGGGACAGAGTGGGTTAAACTCCGTTAGTTACAACCTTCAATTACGTGCCCTGCGACATGGAGTGTAGGACGTGGCTCTAATTTTTTAATGTTCCTTGACTATATACTCGGCGACAACTTTTCTTGGCACTGAAGGGAAAGCTACGGAGGGAAAGCTTCTTCACATAAAGCACTACGCGAAAAATTTCGTTTCGGTGCGCGTCTGGCAACGGGAAAGTGACGGGGGCGCATGATCAGCGTTCCCCTTTGACGTAGACGCCGCTTAGCGTTCTAGGAGTACGTAAGAAGGCGGGACTTTTTCACGCGTTCAAAAACGCGAAGTAAACACAGATAAATTTAAAAAAAACGCGAATATCTTACTGGTGTCAGCTGCGTCCTGTCTCAAATAGCTCCACGTAGGAAATAAAGGTGGAACATGTATATTTTACGTTGAAAATACGGCTGCTACTTTGTAACCACCTTCATTGGTGGTAGGATGCACGCAATTCGGCTCCATAGCTTTCGCTTTGGCGCCAAAAAAATTTGTCGCCGAGTATAGCACGTGTATTAGGCCGCGGCCACCGATGCGACGGCAGAGGCCTCAAAAATCGATCCATGAGCGGCCGGCGCGGAGAGGGACTTTTCAGCGCATCTCGCCGCCGCCGAATCGGATTCGGTGCACTTTGCGCGGAATGCTCACTGTGCACGAGTCATTATAGAGGCTACGGGGTGGATAGAGTTTGAATCAAAAAGACTTACATGTTTATTTGTCCCAATACCTTCAGCAATTGCCCCACGCAACGCCAAGGTTGCACGAAGGGTAAGCTATTTCACATCGTCGTTCGCACAATCCACTGAGAAAGACGCTGTGATTATGAGTGAATTAACGCTGTGAAAACAGTCGAAATTTCACTTGCAAGGTTGCATGCTGAAGAAATGCTAGAAGGCTAGACATCCCATAGCGTAGGCAGAGAGTTGATGGAAAATGGCAAATACTTGAAGCTGTGAGCTGACCCGTTAACCTAACTTGTTGTTTCCGGATGCGATGCTGAAGCCTGTCTGGGACGGAGGTACTCTCTTCTGGCCTCTCTCTTCTGACAGAGGCCGCAGCAGAGCAAACGAAAATGTCGATAGTGTGAGCTCTCTGTGTGTAGCTTGATGCCATGTGCCTATTTTGCGTTGAACACTACACGAGCTTACTAACTAATCAGGTTGTCCGGCCGTACCCGTTCTAGTAGAAGGTCTTAGGTGTCCATACCTTTTCAGAATAAACTGTTTGATTGTGTGCTAGATGTGTACCTAAATATTCTTACTATTTTTTTTTACATAAAGGTATCAATATTTACTTCCGGAGAGTTGCGGCAGCAGGTAGCTCAATGCAATCACTGATTGAAAACCGAACGTTCTTCCTCGAGGGGGTGATGTGGAGTAGTGATCAATCGATAGTGTCAATAAATACTGTGCTGAAGAAAGATCTGCCGGCCGACCGCTACAAAGGAGGTGCTAGGACGACTTAAAAGAATGCTTCATTGTGGCGACAATCGTGTGACAGAGATACCAATATTAGGTAAACGAAAAAGTTAGCCATGAATTGATGGTGGTTAAGTGATTGAAGCCAGGCACGAAATAAAAAAAAATGTTTCTCAGAGGCGTTGTGCTTTTTTACGAACCTACATATTATAAGCAATGCAGTGTAACGAAAGGACGTTGTTGTTACAGATGTTATCAAATTTTCTACTATAGATTCAACTTACTTTGAACAACTCAACTGTCCAGGCTTGCAGTGTCTGAGTTCGAGTATTATTGAGGAGAGCATGTCGTAGTAGTTGAACACCTTGAATGACTCTGCAATGAAGACTCCTTTGAAGCCCACCTGATATCAGATAAAAAAGGAAGAACGCGGAGGCTGCACATTGATAATAAGAATATGCTTTTACGTATTGATTGGTACTAAAAAAAAACATTAACAAGCTTCATGAGGTAACGAAGCCGCTGCAAGTGCAGGACCGGGTGGATTGGCTGAACGGAGGAGATCTCTTTGTCTTGATTTCAGTGCAGTCATGTAGCTGCTGCCGCAGCTGATGATGATGAAATTGCGTATGGAATGCAGTGTATGACACAAATAAAAAAAGAGGTACTGATCAAGCAGATCTGTGTTGATCGCAAAGTACGCAACATTCAGCGAAAGATAATAATTTCAATACATTAATTTCTGAAGGAACATGTGGAACAGCTAGTGTATAAAAATGTCACAGTGCGTCACAAAGAATGATACAAAATCACACAGATGTTTCCAGAAACGGGGCTGTTTTTTTTTTTCGAAGCAAGATTACACCACCAAGCTTGTCAATTTTTTTTAAATTAAGGAAAGCTTCCATTAGAATTACAGTTGCACTCGGCGTATCTGACCTTCAACAGCGACCAAGGTCGGCACCACCGCAGAACTTCAGCGAAAGGCTTGCGTGGCTAAAACGAAAGCAAACAGTGGCTCCAGATCAGTATTTTTGATGCCGCTACCTTTTGAGCCACTGGCTGCATGCAATTTTATTGCATTTTCACACGAAAGACATGTAGAAGCGCCTGTGTGTTGTCTTGCAGTGAACTTCGTGGGCTTTCTTACCGTGTTGCTGTATTGTTAAGTATGCTTGAACTGATATATGATGTTCTCTATTCCGAAAACAAGTAAAACCATGCTAAAAGAAGGCAAGCTTGGTTTATTCACAATCAACCATTGCTATCTTCTACAGCCCCATTTGTGAATGTACAGGCTCACAAAATCATCTTCACGTTTTATTGCAGCTTTTAAATGGATGACGATGGTTATAGCGGGAAAACGAAGTGACGACAGAGGGACAAGAAGAAATTGTAGCACTTGTCTTCTTTTCGTTTCTTTGTCGTCGTTCTGTTCTTGCGCTATAAAAATCGTCATATCATACCAACGAGTCCAAATCATCACGTTTCAAATGGAGTTGCTTCGTTACTAAAGACGTCTATCACTTACATGCCTAGTTCACATTCGCAATGAAGGAGGCAGAACCGATTATGAAAGTGTAAGTTAATACGCTGCAAGGGACAGACCAATGTCTACTGCAGCCGACAGCACTTGCTATTTTAATAATATAATAATGATACTTAGGCTGTTAGGTCCTTAAAACAAGATATAATTATGAGAGATGCCCTAGTGGGGGCTCCAGAAATGTTCACCATCTGGTGTTCATTAACATGCACTTACATAGTACAATGCACGGGCCTCTACGATTTCGCTTCCATGAAAATTCTTTCGGCCTGACTGAGAACGAACCCGCGCACCTGCCATGTTGCCGGGCGTCGTTCTCTGCAGTCCGGAATCGCACTTGAATGCACAATAAAAACGAAAGCTTTTTTGCATTGAATAATAAGTTGTCAAGACCAAATGCATCCCTCGTACCACGAGAAGAGGCCTAATAACCGTGGAAACACGGTCCCTAGGGTTCCAGCACCAGCTCGCCGTGGCGCCGCAGATTTTAGCAACGTACGTCATTGCGTATGCTAAGTCTTACGTAATTGCTTACGGTGAAATTCAACTTCCATTGTGTAAGAAGCTAGACACGTTTTGAAAAAAAAGCAACTTTAAGAAATTTATTTACAAATGTGGCAAAAGTGCTTAGCACAACTGAAATTTGCCATTGTACAGACCGGATTAACGTTACCGCGCTCCGGTTTTGATGCGAAGTTCAGACACGATAACTATAGTGATGCATGGACAATAAATCTTTTTGTACGTTTGCACAAAGATCTGTCTTTTGAAACTAAGTGCGTTCATAGCTTTCGTAAACCAAATAGTAGATTACTACCGATATGACTCTGACGAGCTGTTGTTGCATTTCCCCGTCACACTTTCAGAACCACATGGCAGAGGCTTACCGACTGGTAAAAAAAAACACACTTACAGTCAGGAGGCACCTTTCGAATTCAGCTGCCGTCAGTGCAAAATGGCAACTAGCCTGAAAAAAAGAGAAAAAAAACGACACCACCAAGTTAGCATCCTGTCATAATGTCCTGCACAACTTTCATCTCTTTGTACTTTTTTGTATCAATATTTCTTCACTTTGCCACATTTTGCTTTAAAAATCAACACTTAATCTAACAATAACAATCATGGGCATTATTCATTGTTTCAATAATTATTTATTTCAATAGTTAAAAGGACATTTGCCTGCACTTTCAAGTATGTGCCTGAAATGAAGTGAGAGAAGTCGGCCACCCTGAACAGAAATGGAAAACAGATTTATGCCAGCGAACACTTTTTGAAAAGTATTGCTTCGACACACTGTCCACATATTCCCGGACAGCCTCCGACTCACTATAACTCAGCCCGAGCTTACTACTGAACTGGCGCTGGCTTCTAGAACTGGCTGCCAGCTTGAAAATTGATTAGTACTATACAGATTTAGTTTGGTGACCTCAGCAGCTGTGTATATTCAGCCTGCTATAGGAAACGGCTAGAAGCTTCGTCCGGAGAGAGGCTGTAGAATTTATCTGCAGTTTCACGTACCGAGACGCGTGTAGCATCGGTACGCTGACCCGCTGCTGCTGCTTGTTATCGTATGAACAGTAGTTAGTTATTATGTTGGAGTTATTCCTTTGGTAGGCTCCACATGCCACACTAACTCAAATAAATAGAAAATATGGTTAATATTGAAATTCTATTTGTTAATTAACGTTGTGCTTTGCTTTCCCGGAACGTCCAAGGGACGTCACAGGTTTAAGTCTGCTCTCTCTGCATTTTCACAGCGTTGAGCTTTATGAAAGTTCCAAGCATGTCATATTCAAAGCCGTGAAGTTTAAAAAGCAATGCATTCCTTTTTATGTACTGTAGTCAACAACGCCGTCGCTGATTGCGCTGTGGCTACATGTCATTGCTGAGATTTGGGACACAAATTTCAAGGCGGCGAGTCATCACTCTTAGGGCTCTGTTGACCTATAAGAAGCGTCTTTTCTAAAAAAAAGAAGATCGAAATATTTATCAAGTCGGCGAACTACTTGTATTGATTCATATGTGGGGTTTTACGCCCCCAAACCACCTTATGATTATGAGAGACTCCATAGTGGGCGGCTCCGGAAGTTTAGACCACCTGAAGTTCTTTAACATGCACCCAAACTCTGAGCCCATGGGCCTACAGCCTTTTCACCTCCATTGAAAATGCAGCCACCACAGCCGGCATTCAATCCCGCGACTTGCGGGTGGCGGGAAGTATTGACAGATGCAGGTGAAATATGAAATAATTTTTACCTTCAACACCCCTCGACCAAGTAAACATAATCTCATTGTTCAGCTAGTGGAGAGCTTGCTTTGCCAGAGGTGATAAATACGCACGCTGACAGCCTGAGATAAAAAAAAAACAGTTGCTTATTTATTCGCACAAAGAGCTAGGGCTTACCGAGCGAAGCGAGCAAGGAGCTTAAGTGTTAGTGTTATTGTATCTCTATGACGGGTGTAATACACTAGTTCAAATTTAGCGATCCCAAGAGCAAGAGACCTAGTTCATAAAAAAACCTAATTGATTCCTTGTCAGTTGTGAAAAGTTCATATTTCTGTGGTACCTTTATCTTTCCTGTTAGTACCTATAGAAAAAAGTAGTAGTCACCGAGAAAGAAGCTCAAGAAGAGGCTTCATGCGCATAAAAGCACCAATATTATACTTACTGAAATTACTCCAATTTTGGCTGAGGCAGCAGCCATTAGAATCCAGTTGAAGCTGTTCGGAGCCCATATTAACAATGTGTCTCCCTTGCTGAACCCAAGAGACAGCAGACCTTGCGCCACTCGGTCAACCTTGCGAATGGAGAGATAAAAATACACATTGGGCGTTGCTGTTAGACACTCTATGCGATTGGTCTATGAAAAGTTCTATATTTTGGCCAAAGGTGCACGTTACTTCAGTAGAACAATAACTTTACCTATGAGCTAACACTACAAGAGGCGCCTGTTAAGTGTCGTGCAAGTATAAATTGCAATACTTCCGAGTTTTTTGTATCTCTTTTCTTTAAATGTACTATGGAGAATGACACTCACCCGGACAGCTTGTACCACATGGACCCATCAAAATTTATTACGAAGCGTTTGCTTTTTATTGAATTTGGCTGACTATTGCTGATCACAAGCACCCTTGTCAGCACTATTCTTTGCCTCAACTATACTAATTCTTATTCAGAAGTAAATGTTGTTGGGCTAGTTGGTTTATGTGAAATCACACCCCCTTTGACCCCTTCATGAATATTTCTTCGACCGAAATAGCCACAACTACGGCTTCTAAATAATGCTCATATATACCACATGGACAGCGTGACCCCTATGGAGCTTCGACTACGAGGAATAGCCACACACAGGTCTTCATTAACAACTGATTTTCTTTCTTCAACCCATGTGATCAAAAAACATGAAAATGATCAAATGATGCGTACGCATCGTGGCAGGGCGTCATTTGATTTCACAATTCCAAAGCTGCGCTTCCTGTTGTGGAGAGCGATAGAGTACTGGCTGATTTACGCTCTCTTTTTTAGTGCTGATTTGCCAAATGTAATAAAAAAATAAATGCAGCAGTGAGTCAGCGGGAAACACGTTAGTGTTAAAGAGGTCTTCCGTCCTGGTTACGCTGCACGCATAACAAAAACAGGTATGATTACGAAATTGGCTAGCTTGCCACTTTAAACTAAATGTTTAATTTTAGCGCTCTGCAAGGCTGAACCCAAAGAGGAGTTTGTGCTAACCTGGCTTCTTACAGCTTTCTAAGTTTGTTGTCTACTTATGTGCATGGTCAGCTTCCAATTGAAGATTGTATCAGTTCTGTACTTATTTTGATTGTACGAATTGGCTGCGGCCTAGCGACATTACACTGAGCTGTCTTGTCTTCAATGATAAGATATTGTTTAAAGGTAAGCATTCCGGGCCTAATTACCGAGGCCACGATCAGTATCGAGCTATCAGTATGATCAGTATCTTGATTAGCAGGATAATAATTGACCTTGTAAGTAAGGGCTAATAAGCATAGTTTCGCTTTGCCTGCTCATAAATGATGTCGCGTTAATAAGCATACTTTAGTTCGCTCATCGACTAGCATGCTTTAAAGTTTGCCCGGTTCTAGCTTTACAAGTATTCATTAGCATGGTCTTCTTAAAATGTGGATCAATTACCTCGGCCTCACTATGACTTCGCTTAATTAGCTTGTTCATACAATGTCCGGAACTAATCAGTCAAGTATACCGTCCAGCCAAAAAAATACCCGCATATATGCACGGAGTGAATGATGATAAGTGGGGCAAAGCTTCGGAGGTTTTATGGGAATAAACTGCCAATATTCTTTCTGTCCGTACGTCCGTCCATCCATCTATCAGTCTGTTTGTCTGTCTGTCTGTCTGTCCATCCACACCTGCTGAGTGAGTCATTAACTAGGCGATCACGTCTAACAAGCTAGGTGAGACAGACCCGCAACTTTAGGAGCTTTGCCACTAATAGCTAATTAGCCAGCCGCACATGTTCGTGTGCAAGTGGGCGATGACAACAAGGACGATGCGCACTGGCCGAGCAGCACACTAGCAAGTGCAAGCTGACCACGATGATTAACACGTGGCCTCGGGTTTAGCTGTGGTCACCATGTTGTAAGATGCTCGGCTGGTACTGATCTCAGAGGCCACAAGTGCTTATCATTCTAAAGCAGACATAGTGCACGCATTAAAAGCTTTAAAGTTACCTTAAGCAACCCAAGCCTCTAAAAAATGTCATCACGAAATGTTCCTGACATTTTTATTGAATGGGTGCACTTGAGCACTCAGTGAAACGACAAACAAATTAAAGAAGACACCTCTGGTTTGAAACACCACCCAGCCTATACTCTGTTTCAACGCTCTGGTTCAGCACTACCGAAGCTACGGCGTGTAAGAAGGCCAAACGCTCGCGCAGTGAAACAAAGTTCCTGATTTAAATGCCTTTAAAATGGCAGGGTTGTCTAAAATTGCCCTTTGTTTGGTGTGTGTTGTGCCACATCAATACACGATATCTTTTTATTCATCGTATTTAATTGCTACGCATTTAAATATTTGTGTCCGTTACCGGAAGAACTATGGTTACAAATAAACATGGCAGCCCCCATGCAGAAGCGACCACCCACTTCGATCCGAACTTGCTCCTGCTAAACGTCCGCTGCTCTGACAGCAACAAACAAACGGTAAAATCTTCCATTGATTTGTTTCATCTCGCTCTGAGAATGGAGCATCAGGTAGGTTTAGTCGTTATTAGCGAGGTATGCTGCTTGAGTAGCCGTATCTGATAAGCCTAACGCGCCGAGGCGAGGGCTCGGGCTTTATCGCCAAACGAAGAACGCTGCGCATCTCTAAATATTGGCATGCAACCTCGCACGGCGTTTTGCGCGCGTCGAATGCTCCCTCGGTGGAACAAAAAAAAAAGATAGAAGAGAAGCATTGCAGCAAGAGATTGTAGAAAATGCTTCCACAGCGAAGCAGTCGCGTCAGAGCCAGTGTCCTAGAGCCATAAAGTGAACTTGTCCGCCGGCATGAGCATCTACCGATCTCCTGTAGAGCCACAAATCATATTTTTAAGGCACCAAACTTCCTAAAGTTGAAGTTCAATGGCTCTTTTGACAGTTTTACTCATTTTTTGACGTTATTCAAGCCCCCATGCAACATACGATGATCGTGCATGGACAAGTAGTCTAGCAGGCGCCTTGAAGATGGTGAGCAGACGACACGGAACGGATGAATACGTGTGGAGAGGCTAATCGTCTTTCCTATTGGCTCGGGGTCCTGTAGCCTCCACATTGCTGAAGGGAACTTCTGAAACAGTGCACGTATAGTGGATCGTCTTTTACACGATGACTTCTTCCATCGTAAGCAATGAAATGCAGTGCGCTGATTGGTCTATTTGACGTTTTCGTATTGCTGACTCGTTCTTAATGAGGTGTCGCCAGAGCTCGGGAAGATGCCGAGTTTTGCGAAACTGGGCCGATCCTGCCTAGCGCCGCAGTGGCCTTTTTTGTGTAATACAAAAAAAAAAGTGCCTGGATAGCTGATTGCCTATGGCACTCGCCTACGGATGGTGAGTTGACTGGTTTGAATTTCTACTCGTCAGAATTTCTTAAACAATGATTGAATGATTGATATTAGGGGGTTTAACGTATCAAAACCATCATCTGATTATGAGCGACGCCGTAGTGGAGGACTCCGGAAACTTAGATTACCTGGGGTTCTTTAACGTGGACCACAACCTGAGCACACGGACGTACAGTATTTCACCTCCATCGAAAATGCACCCTCCGCATCCGAGATTCGACCCCATGACCTGCGGGTCAGCAGCTTGTACCTCAGCCATTGGACCACTGCGTTGGGGCTTCTCATACAGAAAATCTGTTTACCGAATTGTTCTTCGTTCTACGAAACAGTTTCATCGCAAGGGATAAGCAATTGATGTGCGAAAACTTGGAATGCCACACAAATAACGGCAAGCAGCTTTCTCTTATGAAATATTAGCACGACGAAAACAGGGATGGGAAAGAAAAAACAAACTACAGTGCTGGCAACTAAAGTTTATTCCTGAAAAAACCAGAACATACACCGTCTAAAAGTGGAAAGAAAAGACAAGAAAAGAAGAATCGCGCAAACTTTAAACTTCCAGCGTGCCGCTCAATGTAAAAGTACTCATGAAAACAACCCACAGGACGACTACGACCTGAGTCCCAACTCGCCATACAGCGCGGGGCTCGAACACAAGCAAGGACGCTGAAACATGACGCCCTCGTGTAGAGCGCACAAGCGTGAACTAAGAACTTCCACAGTTGTTACTTCGTATTTCAGCAGTGGCTGCAAGTGCCCGAAAGCAGCACTGTTAGATATTTACTTCATCGCATAGCAGTTATATATTGACACGTTCCATTTCACAAGTTTTTGTTATCGTTCCGAAACACCACAACATTCTCGGCGCAAACCGCGCCTGCAGGTTTCGAGAAGGTTCCGGACTGTAGTAGATTATTTCGATAAAATCACGCCCACTGTGCGAACGGTACTGATTGTTCTGGAACCTACGCCACCGCCAGCGATAACGCTAGAACATTCGACGGCAAGGCTATAAATGCCGCCGCGCTTCGCCGCTTGCCAGTTGTTGATCGAAGGCCGACGCTGCGTTCGCCGCTATCAGTCCGAGACTGCTATCTGTGCAAGACTGCTGCTGTAATTAGACTTTCCCTTTACCGGGAACAGGTTCGCCCAAATAAACAGTTAAATCCCAACACGAAGTTTCCTGTCTTTGGCCTCGTCACGACCCCGTGACATCTGGTGGAGGTGCTGCTTCGTTCATGTACCGGACGCCCCCGTCAAGCCGTGAACCCAGCCCCCGTCGCGGAGAAGACACCGACGCCAACCAAGAGCAGCAAACGAGCCGCCGACAGCAAGGTCTCCCACCGGAGTACGGCCTTCTACAAGACAAGGCGCGGAAGACCAAGACCATGACCTCGACTGCAGCGACAATGACAACCGGAGCGTCCCAGCCAACGATCGTCATTCATCAACCCAGGGAACCACCAACGTCCTATGGCTCATCGTTTGAAGACCCGGAAACCTGGCTAGAAACATACGACCGTGTGGCCGCCCTCAACCACTGGGACAATGAAGAAAAGCTCCGTCGTGTGTACTTCTACCTGGAAGACACCGCAAGGACCTGGCTAGAGAATCGGGAGTCCACGCTCCGAACGTGGGATGTCTTCTGCGGTGCATTTCTGCAAACGTTCGCAAGCGTCGCTCGCAAAGAGAGGGCCGCTGCTCTACTTG